AATGCTGTCATTAAGTTTTTTTTTGATTCCTGCTTACTACTATGAAAATATCTTTGCTTCCTTCTACTAGGTGGCCACTGGCGGAAAGCAAAAGCCGCATCCTGGACTCCACGTGCGAGCTCCGTGCAGGCGAAGCCTGTGGCCACTGCCGTGTGTAGACCAGCCTCAGCTGGCAAAATGCGCAAACATGGATTACCTAGCGGTTTGAGTACTACAAGGGGAGCATAGAGGGTTATAGAGGTTATGTAGGATCGCATAGGGATCATTTAGCGTAATACAGGTCATTGCAGGTCGATCTTTGCATGCAGCATCTTTCGACTCTGTTCAATGCTCAATCTCTTTCGAGCAGATACGAAATGAACATGTTGTGAAACGACGTGCCCTGCAGTGGCCCTGCAGGCGCGACCGTCATCGAGATACCACTTGACGGCAGTTCATACTTTTTGCCTTTTGACTCTCGTGCGTGGTTGGCTCAGACCACAGTCCATGCATCAAAAAGGGTTATATATGAAAACTGTAGGTCTATATTATTAGGATTGTATTGATCTGAGGTAGGCACTCAGGCCTACTGTCTACTATTAGGATCGTATTGAGCTTAGGTAGGCGCTTAGGTCCATCGAAAAGAACCGCAAGAATGTATACACATATGCATATACACGTATGCATATATACATGCACTATACATAAGATTACAGTTGTAAACACGAACATTGCACTGTCCGTAGGGCTTCAGGTTTAGCGTAAAGTGCTCACAGGATTTCTGACATGCGGGTACCCTTCGGCGCAGTTTGCATATACAGTAGGTAGAAATTATGTGGGGATTATCTCGAACCAAAATCTTCGGTGATTATGCTGGACAAATCATCGTAACAGCAATAGAAGGACCCGGCACTGCGGAAATCAGACCAGAACGATGCCAGCAGTAGCAAACGTATGTAAGCACGCCTCATAAACATAAACTGCACATGTCGACACCGACCATGACAATCATCACCGAGCCAGCAGGACAGGCGCAACGGCTATCATGAACAGCTCGCCATGAGAAGTAGCGGCATCTGCTAGTCGTGCCGGCAACTGTCTCGGCGGCGGTGGTGGCCACGGCCATACATGGCAGTTGATGTGCTGGAAACATTTTGCAACAACCCTGGCCCAAGAAGCTGCGCAAACAAGGCATCACGCATGTCCACATCCGGGTGGAGCGCGCATAACAGGTCTTCAAGCTTGCGAGCGTCATTCAGCGCATCTACCCCAACCAAGTGTTCACGTAGAGTTGTATAGTAAGCGCTTCGACCATCAAGAAACAACACGCCCCCCGAGACACCCTGCCTGCGGGCTGCTTGAATGTATGCTCGCACATAGTTTGATGGAAGTTCGATGGGACATCCCCGCCTTGCACCGCACTGTGCCTCGTGAGCAATGTTAGCAAAAGCCGGTAGCATGCGTTCCCTGAAGGATTTGGCAATTCCCTTAGCAGCAGCCTCATACAAGGCTATGCTCCTCCACCCTTGCACACTACTGGGGTCCTTACCAGGCTTGCCAATTCCAGCTACCAACGTACCTGACCAGGCAATCGGCACAGTCTGTCTCAACATGGCCTTGGCAACAATTGGCCAGTGAGTCCAGGCTGCTTCTCTGGCAGCGAGCTTGTATATTTCAGAGGGGAAGCCCGTAATGCCTGGTGCTTTGCCCAATTTTAACCCCATAAACCCTCGCGTCAGCTCAGGCAGCGAAATCAGATCAGCAGCAGTGAGTTCTTTGGAGTCCTCAGCAACAACCGCAGCCCTTTCTGCACAAAGTTCGCTGATAGAGATCTCCTGTCCTTTCTCGGCCTCAGCAAAGTGCCGGCTAAGCTCCGCAAGGATTTCATCGTGCTCAACTATGGGAGTGCCATTTTTGTAAAGCGCTTGTGTGACTGTTGGCTTTCGGTATCTACGTCCAGTTTTCATGACACCACGTAAAACGCAAGCAAGCTGAACATCACCTTGTTGCTTGGCCTCCTCAAGCACTCTCCTTACATGCACCGCTGTGTCTCGGCTACCAAGTTGCTTCACGACTGCATTCAGCCGGCGAATCAAAGCAGTGACACCCCTGTTGGTGTTTGCAACTACATAAAGGCTTCGATGAAGCAGTCATGGTTCACAATGAGACCGGAGCAAGAAGTCTGCGTGCGTACTGCCACCGGCACGGTGCCTGGGACACCTTTGGCCGACTTGCTTTATGAGGAGGTTCAGACGATTTTCCTCGATGGCTTGCGGCGACGACTTGACGAACATGGCCTCACTGCGTGCGCCATCCACAGTTCCGTCAAAGCTCCAGCTCCCTGTTGGGCTGACGACGTTGCTGTTTTGTTGCCTTACTGCACTGCCAGTGAAGTTGTCCCCAATCTCAAAACGATTGCGCATGAGGCAGATAAATTGAGTAGGGACACCGGTGTCCTACTCAACTTCGACCCAGGCAAGTCTGAGGCCTTGCTGCTATTTCATGGTAAAGACAGCTTGGCCATGAGCAGGAATTACCTTACGAAGGATGAGCCCGCTGTTGAAGTTGCGCTCTGCAGTGGTGACACGATCAGTTTGCGGCTTGTGCGGCAATATGAGCACCTTGGAGGGCGTGTGGTGCATACAGGTGCCTGCTTGTCTGACATCAAGAAGCGGACAAGGCTGACTGAAGGCACCTCCAAACAACTGTCGCGTACGTTGCTTAGGAATCCGGTGCTTGAACATGAAGAGAAAGTCCTCTTGTTGAACAGCCTTGTCATCAACAAGTTGTTGTTTGGAGCGGGGCTGTGGTGTTTGGAGAATAGTGAAGAGGAGCGTGCCCTGCACTCCGCGGTCATGAGCTTCTATCGAAGGTCACTGAGGCCAATATTTGGGCTGAGTCCCAAACACTTGTGTGATGCGGAGGTGTGTTGTCTACTGAGCGTTCTCAATCCACGACAGCTGCACTGCGTTGCGTTGATACGTCAGTTGAGAGTTGTTGCGCTACAAGGGCCTGGCTTTCTGTGGGAAGCTTTGTGTGAGGCGCATGCTTGGCTCCGTGCTGCTTTTGATGCGTTGTCGCATGTGCTCGCTGTACTTGCAGTTGACTGGCAGTTGGAAGCAGGTTGGAAGGACAGGCTCGTGCAGTTACAACAGCGCGTGTTGCAGTTGCAGCGATTGCCCAAGCAATTCAAGAGGGCAGTTTTGAAGAGTTCCCTTGATAAAAGGGAGGACGTCCTCTTCAAAGCCTTGGATTTGCGTATCATTGAGCGTAACCATGAGTTGATTTTCAAGGTTCCTGACACTGCCACTGCTGGTGAATTGGAGTGTTTGCATTGTAAAGGCAAATTTAAAACAAAAGCTGCACTTGCTGCCCATAATGCTCGCAGACATGGGATACAGGCAGCGAGCACCAGACTTGCTTATGGCACTCGTTGCGAGCGTTGCAGTGTTGAGTTTTGGAGCACAAGGCGATTGAGGCGTCACTTGAGCTGCGTTGCAGAATGCAGGGCTTGTTACGAAGGCGCTGACTTAACTTGCAGTGAAGTCTTCACCACGGACGTCTCTGCTTGGAGGCCTCCAGCTGTGACGCTTGGTCCCAGGCCCTTTTGGACCTGCTTTTCCCCAGAGTTGCCCAACCCATCCGAAGCTGCATTAGTAGGAACTTCAAGTGCTGCTGCGAGGACGCTTCTTGAGCTGATTGGGACATGTGGAAGCAGCACTAGTGTTGAGCAGTTCTTCAGGTCTGTCCTCGTTTGGGTTTGCAGATTTGGTGGAGAGACGGAAGGAGTTGTTTGCTACCTACGGCACCCTTGGCTTGATCTCATTGAACTTGCATCTTTGCTTCAAGCCTCCAACTTCGTTACTACCGAAGATGGTGTTAGAGTGGGTAAGTACAGTGCTGTGGCGGATGGTTGCAACATCCGACTTTGCATTAAGGAGGTTTGAGACCGGATTTGCAAGTCAGAATTCATGCGCGCACTACGGATCTAGCAACAATGAAACAGAAACAGAAACAGAAACAGAAACAGTGCTGGAAACATCATAAGCTGTTGGCGGCGGTCTCTGTTCTTACAAAAATACAACAAAATGTGCACAATCTCCAACGGGGCTGCCGTAATCGCCGTAATCCCCTTGCAATTCCTGGTCCAGAAGAGGAGCCTGTTTTGAAAAAATCCCCTGTTTCTACTCTCCGAGAATCATCCTTTCGGCTAGCTTGGGGTCTATACTGGGAGCCCATAATGTCTGGAACTCCCATATGAGCTATAATCTAAACTCCTAGGATCCCCCTCGATGGTTACAGTATTTTCGGGTCTATACTGGGGAAACTACCCTATACTCCACCCAAAATGACCATAGTATTAAGTATATTTACTGGGGTCCCCCCTATGATGGCCCATACAGTCCCTAAACCCTAATACCCTAAACCCTAAACCCTTAAACCCTAAACCCCTAAACCCTAAACCCCTAAACCCTAAACCCTAAACCCCTAGACCCTAAACCCTAAACCCTATATGCAGACAAAGGTGCGGCTTGCAGAAGTGAGGCCAAGGAGTCCCAGGAGCGAAACGTTGCTGTGAAGCTGGTCAATGGGGCCTCGCAGCACTTAGAATCCTAAGGTTGAAACCATGGGCCCCTAAGATGGGCCCTTAACCGGGGATCCTTATATACTTACTGCAAGAGTTTGCACTGCAGGAGCAAAGCTCTTCGAGGGAGAGCAGCTGTGCGCATAGATGTGCACTGCCTTCTCCGCAGGCTCTTCGGCCCTGAGGTAGGTTGTCCCTAGCCCTTTGTACACACCGACTCGTCGCAGGAGGAGCGTCGAGACACAAAAGTGCGACAAGCGCTGCTGCAGACAACTTCATCTTGCTGCCAGGCGGGGCCGATTCCCGCATGGTAGCGGAGCCTGGCTGTACTCAACGAGGCAGTCAGGCTCCAGGAGCAAAGAGCCCAAGATCCGAAGAACAACTTGTTGAATCGACAAGTTTGTGATTTGAAAAGTTCCCGCCTTACAACTGCAAGATGGTTGTCGGCAAGAGTCGAGATGGGGTACCCACATGGAGTGGTGACCCATCAACTTGGGATGAGTACAGGAGGGCTGCCCTTTTGTTCGTGGAGACGACCAAGTGGTCAAACAGATATTTATGCGGCCCACGTTTGGCTGCCGAACTGTCTGGCGCCGCAAAGGCCTCCATTGTTGGCAAGAAGTCCACCTGGCTCTCCCATGACAAGGGAGTGCACCGGCTGCTACAGCACCTTCAGGAGGCTATTTCGGAACCTGTTCTTCCCGAGGTGGGAAATGCTTTGCGTACATACTTCAAATCTCTGAGGCGCAAGCGTGGTGAGTCGATGACCGGCTTCTGCGTGAGACACAGGGAGGAGTATGAGAAGGCATGCCGGGCCCTGACTCGTATGATGGGGAGTCAGAAGCCCGACCTTGGCAAGAACATGTTCCCAAAGAACGCCTCAAGGCGCAGCAGCTGGGGAACTTTGGGATACAACACCTCAGGGCCGGAGAGGCCGCCGGGCGCAAATGCCGCCCCAACTTCGTCACCTGCACCTGCTGCTTCGGCCTCAGGCCCCACCACAGACTCTGGCGAGGCAGGCCTTGACACAGAGGCCCCACAGCCTCCTGGGGAAGACTCCTGGGAGACGTGGGCTCGAGAGAACCGAGACGACACGTGGAGCCAAGGAGGTCACAGCTCGTGGAGCCGCTGGGGCCAGTGGAGCTGGCACAACGAGTGGTCAGGACACCAGTGGCAAGCCGAAGCCTCCGACACGGAGGATGAAGAGCCTTTGATAGAAGTTCTTCCGGACGTCATCAAAGGTTGGCTCCTGCTTGAAAAGGCAGGGTTGGACACGCTTGAGAAGAGCATCATCCAGTCCGACATCAAGTCCCAGTTCACACTGCTCAACGTGGAGAACTCCCTTCGTGCTCACTGGACGGACGAACAGATCCGGCGACGTGATGGCGAGACCCGTGCTCAGGCGAACTTCGAGGACTTCGATGACGAGGATGATGTTCCACAAGGTGTGCCTTCAGGTTTCTTCGAGAACTGGGACGAGGAGGACGTGATTCTCTTCCAGTCGGCTCAGCAGGCTGAGGCCGATGCATGGGCCCAAATCCAGCAGGGACGTCGCACCTTGAGAGAGGCGCGAGAGCGCCAAAAGGAGGTGCGCCTAGGCAGGAAGTTCTACACCGGCAAGGGCCAGGGCAAGTTCAGTGGCGCAAGCTCTTCAGGGCCGGCGCGAGGTGGTCAGAACCACTCTGGAAGCTCTGGAGAAGGTCCTTGCCTCCGCTGTGGCAAAGCTCACTCGACAAGAAACTGCCCCCAGAAGGCCGAGAAGTCCGACAAGAGCACTTTCAAGGCCGAGGTCGATGCTGAGTCCGAGTTCATCTTCTATGCTGAGGCCGAGACCTTGTTCGGCGACAGCATGCCGCAGGATTCCGAGGCCATGTCGGCCATGTCCCAGGGCAAGATGACGACTCAGCAGGCCATGAAGGCCGGGTACGGGGTCTTGGATCCCGGCGCCACACGGACTATGGGGTCCATAGAGGCCCTGGAGCATGCCCGCAGCATTCACATGCAGCAGCACCAGCAGGACAACATCACCAGCGTCAACACCGAGGAGCGGCCAACCTTTGGTTTTGCTGACTCCAAGACAGCACGCTGCAGTTCGACTGTCCTGATGCAGATGCGAGTGGCCGAGCAGAATATGAAGTTGAGGGTGCACGCGCTTGACAAGGGTTCTGTGCCTGTTCTTTTCAGCATTGACTCCCTTAGGCGTATGGGTGCCATAGTCGATTATTCTCGGGATGAAGCTGTTTTTGTTAGGGTTAACCCCTCTAAGAGAGTCAAGCTCCAGACCACGATGACAGGGCATCAGATTTTGCCGTTAACACGTGACTTTATGCAGGGGGCAGCAGACCTCCAGGCACCGATTTTCCAGCTTGGTGCCCCAATTTCCGAATAGGGCATCAACCTCTGCTCGGGCCAGCCTGAACCTGAGTGGGAGACAACAAAACTTTCAGGCACTCCAGCTGTGCAAGGGTTGGGTGTCCAAAACCCCAGTCATGTGCAGGGATCGCAACTGGATGGGCATTGTTCTTTAAGATTCCCCGGGAATAATACCTCTCAAGCTCCTGTAGGTAGTGCTGTAGCCTCCTCGCGTCCCCATACCGAAGGAAACCACTGCTCAGTCAAGGATGGCTTCTCAGGACAAGATGACTCAAGGGGTCAAGGTTCCAAGCGCTCTGACAAAGAAGGAGTGCCTTGCGGAGCTTCAGGCCTTTCAGGTGGTGGTGTCTTCAGACCTCACGATCCAGGAGCTCCGGTTCATGGTCAAGCAGACGCGCATCCAGGAGGGTCTCATGGAGGACCGCAAGGGCAACAAGACCACCATGATGTCCATGATCGAGCAGGCATCCCTGGCCGGCCTCAGGAAGCTGGCCAGCGAGCACAAGGTCGGGTTCCCTTCATCCATGGAACACGGAGCACTTCGACTTCACATGCGTCAGTGGACAATCCGCTCAGCACCGGAAAAGACCATCGTGCACTTCGGCAAGCACAAGGGCAAAAGCCTCGAGGCGATTTGGAACAACGATGCTCAGTACGTCGAGTGGTGTGTGAAGGAGGCTGCTTCCAAGAAGGAGGCGGGCGGCGATTCTGACCGGCAAGGTGCCGGACCCCTTCGATGTGAAGATGCACCAGGCCAATGCGGTCGACAAGTCATTGCCCCCAACGAGTCTGGCCTTCATCATGGAGCTGGACGACGACATGTTTGTGGTGAAGCCCGAGGAGGAGACGAAGGCCGTCCCCACGAAGAAGGCGGCTGCTGTGCTCAACTTGAGGGGCTACCAGGCCGCTTCATCGGATGCTCCCCCGACAGAGTCTCAGGAGGATCTGCAAAAGCAGGTGGCCATGTTGCGTCAGGAGCTTCGTGCCTTGAAGGAGAGTCAGGGTTCGGATGTGTCACCCCGCAGCCGCAAGTCCCCAAAGGACTAGAGCACGCCAGTGATTTCAATCCTTCATGTGCTGATGGATCAGGGGCTAGGGCTAGTTGTGGGGATAAGGTTTTAAGCCCTGGGGAGTGTCGTGCTTTGGATCGTGCGTGTGCTGATTTTCAGTTTGAAATCCATAAAGCCCTTCGGGATCCCAATCAGCTGTTCTTCTTGGAGGTCGCCTGCGGAGAGGCGTCCGTCTTGACTGAGGAAAGTGCAAAAACAAGGTCTCAAAGCACAGCGCTGCAGCTGGTGGAATGACTATGATTTGGGATCGAACGATGGTCTCAAGAAACTCCTTAGGCTTATCGACAAAGAACGTCCTGATCATGTTTGGTTTTCCACGGAGTGTACTGCCTATAGCCCCCTTCAAAATATCAATGAAAGGGATGATGAACAACGTAAGCGTAGAGATCAAGAAAGGAGGTCCCAACGTAGGCAACACACGGCCGCTTTGGTGGCTGCGTATTTTGCACATTCCGTAGGTAGCACTGTCCATTGGGAATGGGCGAGACGTTGCAGAGCATGGAAGTGGGATCTCATGGATGAATGGAGGAAAGTCTGTGGTGCCACCACTGCCATCATTAGTAGCTGTCAGGTGAACCTTAGGGATCCTGAGTCGAACAAACTGTTTGGTAAAGAGTGGCGTGTTGAAAGCACCTCCCCCACGTTTGCCCGAAATGTCCACTGCCCTTGTCCCTCTAAGGAATGTAGGAATCATCATGCTGCCTGTATGGGAAGTAACCTTAGAGCTACCGCCTTTTTTTGCCCCGAATTCGCGAAAAGGGTTGTGCACCACATGTTGAGGGATGACCAGTTCATTGCCAGCAAGGCCAGCCTGGCTCAGCGCCAACGCGAAACACAAGAGCTCCAGGACATGCGTCTAGACAAGTGCCAGTGCAGTAGGTTTCAGGGTTCCTGTGCTGGGTTGTTGTGTCCTAAGTGCTTAGGGGTCCAAGGGCAAGTTCAGGGTTTGGTTTCCAACGTTGGGGTTGGAGAAGGACGTCAGGGCTTGGGGCATGTTTATACCACGGGGGATCCTTTGGTTCCTTTTTCCAAAGCCGAGACCGAAAGGGTCATGAAACAGCTCCATCATCTCCACAGAGCTACGGGTCACGGTAGCTACGAGAGCCTGATCAAAAGCCTTGAACATCGCAAAGCTGACCCCAGAGTCTTAGCTCTGGCCCGGAACTACAGACGCAGCACATGTGAAGAGCGTAAAAGGCCCACGCCTCGCCGCCTTGCCAACCTGGAAGTCAACACCCAGCGGGGGAAGGTGATCCAGATGGATGCTGGATGGTGGGCCCCGAATGCTGATGATGCCCGTAACAAGTGCCAGTTTGTGATGCTCATCGATGAGGCCAGCAGGTTTGCTGTGGGGCGGGTGTTCCGGAGTGATGGGGGTGGTCATCTCACGGCTAAGTCCATTATCCAAGCCTTCCACGAGTTGTGGGAACCATGCCTCGGTCTGCCTGAACTCCTAAGAGCCGACCCTGACGGGGCATGCAGATCGCGTGAGTTGGACCAGCATTTTCAGAAACTGACAACATCCCAGCAGATGCTCACTGGCGAGTGAGTGTTGTGGAGAGATCCATTCAGTGGGTGAAAGAGCTCATGACTAAAGCTGCCCAGGAGGAGCCTAGTGCCTCACATGAAGCGCTCCTTGCACAGGCCATACGAACATGGAACCAAAGGGAGCCGGTGCGGGGATATTCCCCATACCAATGGATGTTGGGTAGAGCACCTGATTTTGAAGATCGCATGTTCACTCCTGACATTCAGGGTTTGCCTGGTAGTCTCCTTCATCAACCCGAGCATGCGTTTCATAGGTCTGAGAAGTTGCGCCAGATCAGTGAAAAGGCCTTTGTGGACTGGCAGTATCGTGAGAAACTGTCACGGGCGCGCAACTCCAAAGTCAAGGACTACTCCATGTTCATGCCAGGTGATCTCGTCTTCTTTTGGAGGCTTCAGGGGAAGTCACGACAGGGAGGTTCCGGCGGCATCAAGAAAGGTGCATATGCGGGGCCCGCCCGCATACTCGCCATGGAGACACGACATCGCCAAGGTCAAGTGATGCCAGGCTCTTCAGTGTGGTTGGTCAGGGGCATGCGACTAATCAAAGCAGCGATTGAGCAACTTCGCCCTGCCACAGAGAGAGAGACATTGGTTCATGAGCTCACCACCAAGGAGACGACCGGCCCATGGACAATGACACGCCTCACGGACGACCTGGGACCACACGACTATGACGACGTGACAGCCGACGGAGCTCCGCCTGAAGAAGCAGACCCAGACGAGGTCGACATGGAGGTCAACAGTGATGAGGAACTCATTCCTGATCCTCCAGCACCTTCACATCGCCTCAGAAGCAAGCGGCCTTTGACTTCAGGAGGGGATGATAGGAATCCCCGCGTTGGAGTGCCCCCTCATGAACGGCACAGAGCAGCTTGGACGTCAGATTCCCTGATGAGTCTCCCTTGTGAGGCTCCTTGGCAAGAAGACATCCAGAGCTCTTGGTGGTCGTCCACGACGTCCGCCCGTTGGGAGGACAAGAGCTACGCAGTAGAGATCACTTTGGACATCCCTACTACCTCCAACAAGCAGAAGCAGTTTGTGAGAGATCCAGCCCAGTACTTTGCGAAGGCGATGAAACGGAAGGGCGTGGAGGTCTTCGAAAAGCACATGTCGCCACAAGAGAAAGAGAACTTCTCGGGCGCAAAGAGTGCTGAGGTCAAAAAGTACTTGGCGGCAAAGGCCCTGGAGGCTCTTCCTCCAGACATGCGCCCGGACAAGACCCAGGCACTTCGGATGCGGTGGGTGCTGACCTACAAGCAGGATGACTCCGGCAACAAGTCCCCGAAGGCGAGAGCAGTGATCCTCGGGTTCCAAGACCCGGATTACTCCAACAGGCCGACATTCGCACCGACGATGACCCGGACAAGCCGTCAGTTGCTCCTACAATTTTGTGCATGGAAACGACTCACTTGCTGGAAGGGAGACGTGTCTTACAGGGAAGGCCGTACCAACGCGAACTCCATTGCATACCGGTCCCCGAAATATGCCAAGGTTTAGGTCTGCCTCCTGACTCTGTTTGTCGCCTTAAAAAGGCATGTTACGGCTTGGTCGAAGCACCGATCGAGTGGTATGAAACGGTGAACACCTTTCTGCACTCCATCGGGTACAGACAACTACGATCGGACCCCTGCACATGGATCTACGAAGAGAACCAACAAGTCATCTCTATCATCAGCGGGCACGTTGATGATTTTCTCTTTGCAGGAAGGCCAGAATGCTCTACCTGGAACAAGCTCAAGGACCTCATCCAGAAAGAGTTTCGCTGGCAGGAATGGGAAGAAAACAACTTCACACAGTGCGGTGTCACGGTCACTCGGAATCAGGATGGTTCCTTCGACCTCAGCCAGAAGCACTATGTAGAGACCATTCCGGAGATTCAGGTGAACAGGGACCGCCGTCGCCAGAAGCACGAGCCCACTACAGACTCAGAGAAGAGCCAACTTCGCGGACTCCTAGGAGCTCTCAGCTGGCATGTGGGTCAGGTGGGCTACAAGTACAGCGCTCACGTGAGCCTTGCACTCTCCGAAGTTCCTCGCAGCACGGTGGAGAACCTCGAGCAGGCCAACAAGCTCCTGTTTGAAGTCAGACGTGAAGCTCGTGTGCCAATGCGGATCCACGCATTTTCGCCCGAGGAACGACTTTGCTTGGTGGCATGGGTGGATGCCAGTCCTCAAAACCGGCATGATGGCAGTTCTACCGAGGGGATTTTCATAGGCATGGCCCCACAGGACATCGTAGATGGTGCGGTGTCTCGAGTGTCGCCCATGTTTTGGAAGTCCGGCAAGATAGATCGCACATGCCGCTCCCCTGGGAGCGCAGAGGCGAGAGCAGCCATTGATGGGGAAGACAACCTTCATCTTCTCCGCTATGCTTGGGCAGAGTTCAATGGTCTTCAAACGGATGCTTGGAACCCCGAAGCGCTGGTGAAGCAAGTGTTAGGTGTTTTGGTTACTGACTCCCGTAATGTGTATGATAGAGTGGACAAACCCTACATCACCCCTAAGGGCGCCAGTAAGAAAATTGACCTCGAAATGCTTGCTTTGAAAGAGGCCCAGAAGTACACTAATCTGCTAATACGATGGGTGCACTCTGATGCCCAACTTGCGAATACTCTCACGAAAAGAGGAGAAGATCACCAAGTGGCTAGGTTCATTGCTTTAGGACAACAGTGGAGGATCGTACACGATCCTGAAATGTTTTCCGGTAGGAAGCGTAGAGCCCAGGGACTGGATCCCTTGCAGAATGCTGGAGTGCAGTGAGTTTCGTGTGCTTTCTGTTTCAGCAAGTCCCACTCAGGAGGGGATGCAAGAGTTTGCACTGCAGGAGCAAAGCTCTTCGAGGGAGAGCAGCTGTGCGCATAGATGTGCACTGCCTTCTCCGCAGGCTCTTCGGCCCTGAGGTAGGTTGTCCCTAGCCCTTTGTACACACCGACTCGTCGCAGGAGGAGCGTCGAGAACACAAAAGTGCGACAAGCGCTGCTGCAGACAACTTCATCTTGCTGCCAGGCGGGGCCGATTCCCGCACTTACTATATACCCTGCATGTACCCTTGAGAGTCCCCAGAATCCCCCTCAAAGGCTTAAGGGCCCATATTAGGGGCCCATACTTCTAACCTTAGATAGAATGATGGAGGAAAATGGAAACTATCATGTTGTTAGGGCTTGGGTTTTAGAATGATGGAGCAGAAAATGGAAATCATATGAAACTATCATGTTTTTAGGGTTTGAGTTTACGGTGCAGGGTTGGGGTTTGGCAGCCGAAATGATTGACAACCCTTCTTTAAGAATAAAATGCAGAAGAAAATGCAACATGAAATAGAATTTGGGATTTACATTACACTCAGGGACTCTGGAGTAACCGGGATGGAAAGACCATTGCGTTGAGGATAAGACAGCATCTAAATGGAGGGACTCTGAGATCATGTACTGTCTTGTTCCAGCATGACCTAGCAGCAACCTAGGAGAAACCCGCTTGGCCCCATGTAGACCCAGGGGAAAAGTGAAAGGCCCACCGCACATGGAGTTGGAAGGGGAATTGGGATTCTCGATCAGAAGCATGCAGAGCGACCGTGAGTGGATGATGCGAAGATTTAAAGGGGAATCGCACAAGAAGTTCTTTGATGCTATTAATCCTTCATGAAACATGGAACCTGCCTGAGGCGCCACCTGCTGAGGCTTCTGCAGCTCCATTTGCTGGTCCTGATCCTCCTCCTCTTCCTCATCGATGCCCTCCTCTTCTGGCACATCATCCAAGAGGTTTATGGCATCCACGCACACGTCCGGGATGCCATGCCTGGCTGGGGCCTGGGCTGACTGCTGACTCTCCCTGAGCTGCGGCATGGCCTTTGCTAATCTCTTGGACAGGGGCTCAGCCACTGGTTGAGGCGCCCCCGCCTTTGCAGGGGTAGCGGACTTCACAGACTCCAGGGAAAGCCGGACATCGCTGGGTCGCCCTGGCTCAGTAACCTCAGCCTCAGGGCCTTGTGCGCGGCCTTCCAAGCCTTGCAGCTGCTGTTCCAGCTGCGTGTGTCTCCCAAGGAGTCGTTGGATTTCACGGCCCTGCTCCTCAATGGCTTCTCGCAGTTGCTGCACAGCATCAAGAGTAGCATCTGCCATGGCACCCCAGCACACGGAGGAGCTTTGCCTAAATAAGCTGCTTGAGTTAGTGGGAACTGTTGCCTGCAAGCTACCGACTTCTCTTATTCCCAGTCCGCATTTTGATCGGAACTGAGCGTTCAAGTCCCAAGAAGCTACTAACTGGCCTCTGCTGACGGTCTAGCAACTCATCAGTGCATGTTTCGGACCTGTTTCGGTTGCTGTCCAGCCCGGCAATGGAATTTGCATGCGGCAGCGTGGACGTTACTCCAGGAATACGATCAATACCTTGAATGTTCCAGGCTGTCCTGCTGCAAGAAGAAGTGCGGTTCCAAGCAAAAGTCTGAGGCACTTGTTTTGTCTGCCGACTTCAGTCAAGTGCTGCAAACTCTGGAAAAGCATGCCTTGGCTGGGAGTATCTCTTGCAGGGACGACATGGTTGGGCTGTTGGGGACCTAGGGTGGGCGGTTGTGAGAAGATTGTAGGGGTTCCCCGTCGAAGGAATACATTGGCCGCTGACCAGGCACCGCTTGCTGAGACACCGATAAAAAGCTGCGGTCTCTTTACTCCTCTATGAACCTCTATGAAGGGTGATAACTTCTGGAAGCCAGAAAGCATCTGTATGTAGTCGCCACAACTCAAGTGCTGGCCGTAGAAAGAATTTCAGCTTCAACCCTGCAGTCTCTGTCAAGTCTAGCCACAGGTAGCCAAGGCAGTCCTCCGGGTGAGGCCTAAGGCGGAGCAAAAGCTTTGAGTGCTTCCTCTCTGCCTTTACGCTGAGCTGGTTGCTGGCATGCAACTTGGGGTTCATTATGTTCTTGGAATGCACTTTGCCATCCTGGACTGGGAATTTAGGGTAGGTTGAGGTTTAGGATTCAGGTTTTGGTTTTTGGGTCTGCTCGAGATTTCGGTGAAGGGCTTTACTTTCAGCGCTCGAGCTACTCAGCTCAGGTACATGAAGTAATGGAAAGGCAGGACTTTGCCCGAGAGTGCTTCAACTTCATCAGAGAATGAATTCTCAGCTCAATGAGGCCCAAGGTTTGTATACCTTGTTCGACTGTGTTGGCTAGATAGCTGAGATCAGCTCTGAACGCTTCCTGTGTGGTAGCTCAATCAAGGCATGGTATCCCGACAAATTATATATTGGAAGCTCACTTAGTTGTTCCAAGCTGAACAGTCACACTTTTCAAGAAGCACTGCACCTGCATGCCTCATGACACTGTGCCTTCCAAGAGACACGTCAGAGTGCATCTGGTCTAAATGTCTTCGCAGAACTTGCGGAGCCTGCTCAGGACAGCAGATGCAGAAGAGGGTCCTGAAGTTACCGGGCTGTCCTTGAAAGGCTGAAGCAGAATAACCCAACTCATGGTCTAAATCCAGCTGCAGGATGGGAGCTGGAGAGCTCTCTTACAAGTCGGATGCAGCACTAGCATCAAATAATTAGCGATGCAGCTACCTGTAAATATCACGTGCTCACCATCCAATGCGGGATGCCTTTGCCAGATCGCCGTGATACGGACGGGGCCGGGTGCTCCCCTGCATCGTCCGCATGGCGCTGGAAGCCTTCGAGTCCTGGAATTTGTGCAAAGAACAGACTTGGGAACGAAGAAACGCTGTCTTTTCATGGGCACATGCTTCGGCAAACATGTTGGTTATAGCCATTTCAATCAGGTCTCCTGCACCACTGAAGCTGCATCAGGACCTTGTCTGTCAGCTGGCATGCAAGCATGCGTTCTCCAGTTGCTGTTCAAGCACTCTAACAAAGTTACCCTGATGGGGAGCCATAGCACATGGCCTGTTTTCATGATTATGACAACCTTCTGAAATCTGTTTCTGAACAGTAACCCAGACCATTTGGTACTTTCCCAAAATAG